GTGTTGTGAATCACTTGAAGGTTGTGTTTAGAAAATTCAGATGTAGATATGCGAGGATATAGAGGTTGCGATGACAGGTTGACTGATTGTATGACCCCGACCTCATGTTTAGTTGGTAAGGCCTCAACTGTATATTGTGTGAGTTATAATATATATATACATATATATATATATATATATATATTAGTGTGTTGTATGTATATATTGAATCATAAGAGGCTTCAGGTTAGACTCGATAAGCGTTTCGCAGACTCTTATATCTACCCAATGGTAGAATGGCTAAAAATGTAAATAAGGTACGAGCGTGAATCTCCAGCGTGTGTGGGTCACTGAGGGTAAAATTTTATTGAGGGTATGGCTTAAGGTGTAGGCTTGAGTGTATTGAGAGATTACGTTGATAGTGTGATCTGGTCAGGCGCACTAGTCTAAGTTTGATTGTAGTACTTGTTTGACTCCTTTTTAAACATGTACATTTCTTTGCGAATATCACCCTGATATTTGACATGAGGTGATTGTATTTGAGGGTTGTGTTTTTTGTTAGCCATACTACTCCAAGAAAAGGGGGGTATGCCCGCCTCTATGTCTGTATATAAAAACACATTAAATTTGATGGACCTTTAGTTTACATTTTCATGATCTTATTATCTCGAGGGTTAGTGTGGTATATTCTCTTCTCGTGAGTGTTGCAGGGATATGAGAAGGGAATATGCACAACATTTTGACTCGAGACCGTCTTGAACTTTTGATCGATTGAGGTATGGTGTGCCTTGTTTTACTTCTGGTATACGTTTTGAGTTTACTTGATTTCCTTCCAGTCGAGGGTTAGAATTGCGCATCGATTGAAACTATTTTTGTTTGGTTTTGGTAATTGAGATCATGACATGGGCGTGACACCGTGAGATATGATAACTACCTGATGCCATTATGAGTTGAGATTGTTTAACTCTAAGTATATATATATATATATAACTCAAGACTACGGTTGTTCACTTTTGAGTGAGATACCCCACCTCTAAGTGTATATTGAGTTTGAGATTCTTGAGATTATCCTTTTGTGTACGACGATCACAATCACTCTCACATGTGTGAATTTATCATGATGTATGAAGGCTTTGTGTGAGAGATGTACATGATGCATCTCATATGTTCTGTGAATGTGACATGTGTAAACTGTCTGCTCTTCGGTATACTCGTGCGGTCTACTTACGGGCAGACGATGAGGCAGAGTATAAGGAGGGGAAGTGCAGACTGGTCCGTCTGGTGAAAAAGTGTGAAAATCCTAAAGGATTTACGAGTTTTTGAGACTCGAATGCTTTACCATGCCGAACGTTTATTTTAGAGTTATGATAAAGACCTACAAGTTGGTCTCTTAGTAGTGAGTGGTTTTATGGTTGACACCCCTTCAAGTGGGAAAGCGGTTATTGTTCATTTGGACTCGTCTTCATGTGAAAAATGTTTTAAAGATCATATGACGGTTCATCCTTAAGTACGAGGATGACTGCATGACCTAATGGTTGAAACCCCTTCAAATGGAAGGTGACTAAAAACTTTCATGGCATGAAAAATAGTTTTGAATGATAAAGTCTGACGAGAAGGGCCAAGAAAACTGGTCTATTGGACTACTGGTGAAATTTTGGGATGTCGCAAAAATAGTGCATTTGGAGAGATGTCTCTAAGATGTGTGGTCTACTTGCTCTGATCAAGTTGGGAGGCCACAACCTTGTGAGTCTGACGGTCAATTTTGTGATTTTGGAAAGGATGCCGCACTCTGTATGTTGTCCCATAGGGAACTGATAAATGTCTTTTTGAGTGTGTCAGGCCTCTGCGTAGTCCCAGAGTAGGCCTGAGTTTACTGCGACATACTGTCCAACCACTTGTTGATAATCTTAAGGCATATATGAAAGACCCAACTAGGGGTTAAACTAACATTACTCAAGTGCAATCCTCAATGTTGGTTGCTGACCGATGTAGCTTGTCAGCGGTTCCACGTCTTACCAAAGGGGTGAAGGCTTAGGAGGTGTGACCACCTTAGAGAGTTTTTGCTCCTGCGAGATGTCGGAGGGATAAGCGTTGAGTCTATTGTTTTTTTTTTTAGATTCCTGATTGAATGTTTATCAAGAGAAAGCCTATCGTTGCGTAACCAGCGAGGGAACTGCCGCTAAAATAACAACGAGGTGGGTCGTAGATATGGCTCGATCAACCAGACTATGGTGGGCCAAAATAGAGACCTGATATTCATGTACTAGACTGCAGAGAGAGTCTGAGATAAGAGTTATATATATATATATATATATATATATATATATGTGTGTGTGTGTTTGGTTGTGATTATTTTGAGAGGGAGGCGATAGTGCCTTCAGAAGGTCTCGCTTAGGGTCCGTGCAAGAGCGTGATTAGATGAGACAACCAACGAGAAACCAACGTTGTCCAGGACGAAGGGGAGAGGATTATTGAGAGGGTTGCTATAACTTATGTTGTAGTATGTATGCCTAGTATACCGGCGTCCTAATGGCAGGGCAATAGAAACCCAGTTTGAAATCCTGATAGCATATAGTTGTGTTTGACATTTATTGATGGAGTCATCGAACCGGAGCTTGTCGGCTAATTGAATTGGTTCCTTTCTCGTTAATATTTTGAGTTGTGGATGAACTGATAGTTTTTTTATCATTTGGAGCAGCGGAGACGTTGCTTAATATGGCCTGGTAAGATGTCGGTGCGAATACCCTTACAAGGGTATCCGCCCTGGTTTTTGCAAGTGTCAAAAAAAGAGTTTGGTTTAAAGTCTGAGTACACCGCACGAGTCACGCATGTGTCTGTTGTTTACTCTGACTAAGTGGTTGACTAAAAATAGAGCGAGTGTGGGTGCGCAGACTTAAGGCGCGCGTGATCCCCCTTCTTGTTGATGATTGTGGGACCGGTGTCGTTGTCGACCAAGTTTTTTATTCTGATTAAACTAAGGATTTAATAATATTTTATTTTGATGGTACGCTTGACCGTGACATGTGCGTACGTGGGGAGGGCGACGTCGACGACGACACGATTTTGTGTAATGAGCAGAGTGAACGAAAGAGTAAAAGTGGGAAGACAAGCGCCACGCCGTAGGCGTAGGGCTTGATGGCCGTGGGGTTATAGGCCGAGGTGTGGCTTTGTAGGGTTTCAGTAAACCTGCGCACGACGTGGGACCCGCTTGTATAGGTGTTCGTCAATGTTAAGTTTAGCCTTAGAGCTAGCACTATTGGTTACAGTATCGAACTTTCAACAGGGAGGTTCAGGGATCGAAACCAGCAGGCAATGATACAGGAGTATTGGAGCGGTGTGAAGAGGCCGAGGGGTTGAGGGCCCGGTGGGGCTATCCCCCTTGGTTTTGCTGCCAGGGTACTAGCAGCCTCGCCGTCATTTTTTTGCGTTATCTTTTCCTAAACATACTTCATCATTTGTCGTCGTTATTATTATGTTTTTTATGTTTCGGCCTCTTTGAATCGGACGTAACGCCAGATTTAGGGGCCGTCACGGTAGTCGAGGACCTTGGGCACATGCTTCTTTTGGTGGGCCCGTTTGGGTTCCTGCGTGTTCGGAAAGGTGGCAAAATTCCTCTATCCTGTCCGTCTTGAAACACGGAGTGGAGAGGTCAATGTGTAGGAGAGTGGATGAGGTCCATGGACATGGCTTCCCTTGCTTTCCATTTGGAGAGCGTCGAGAGTCTAAAATGGAAGGGAATTGGAGAACATTCTAAGTGGGTCCGTGGGGCTGCAGCAACAAGGATGGCAGGGGTTGCTGCGGGTGCACCGTCCACTAGCCACGATCTGTTGTGAGAGGCTCGAGAGTGAGCATGACATTGGGCCTCGAAAGGTGGTGAACTATACTTGGGCAGAAGGCGCCAGTGGGAGGCCGCCGCAGGGGTAGCCGGGCGGCCCAAGCTACCCCGCGGCTGTTCCCATGGAACCCTTCTCCGCTTAGGTCTTCAAAGTTCTCATTAGAGTTTTTGCTATATCGGGACCCGCTTCACTCGGGGCCATGCTATAAGCTTGCAGCAGGCCCAACCCCTCGACTATGTGACCACACTGTGTGCGAGGACTTGCCTTTGGGGACCTGAAAAGGGGGAGAGCTCTGCTCGAACAAGACGACCAGAAAAACGCTAGTGGAGTCCCGCAGAAATACAATTGTGCAAATCGTTCGGATCTAGGGGCGAAAGGCTAAACGAGCCGACGAGTAGCTGATTTTTCCCAACGGCCTTTCCTCAAAGTTAGTTGGACTAGAGATGTTAAACCACCAGTACTGGTGGTTTATGCAAAGTTTTACCGGATGGCGCCTGGTCGAGCAGCTTGCTGCTTCTCTCTGAAGGGCGCCGATCAGGGGAGTTGAAGCTATGCAACCCGGATTAAGGAGTGCAACCTCCACTTCGTCGTCAAGCTGGTCGTCACCGCCATGACGACGGTCGTTGTTCCCCTGTGGCTAGGTGAGCTAGTGCTGAGCCGGTGGGATTGAGTGAGCCTGGCCGGGAAGATGGCCAAGTGCTACCCATACGTACACGACGATTGTACGGTGTCCTCCGTCCGGACGGGCCGTACGCCTAAACCTTGCCGTTCGTACGGGCAGGGCCTCGACTGGGCACACAGAGAGAGAGAGAGAGAGAGAGAGAGAGAGAGAGAGAGAGAGAGAGAGAGAGAGAGAGAGAGAGAGAGAGAGAGAGAGAGAGAGA